TTTTCCTTTGAATGTATTTATCTCTTACAGTCTACTGGTGCTGTTGTGACGGAGAGCCAGACCTACAAAAAACGAGCTGATTTCTTGAGTAATGATGATTATGCTGTGTATGTGAGAGAGAATATTCAGGTGAGTAATTGTCTTAAACTGGAGCCTTGATCTGTTCTTCATTCAGCAAATATTGGAGTGTGCCCTCTATGTCACGCCTCAGTGGACGAGACCCCTGCCTGCAGGGAGCCTGCCTTCTGGTGCTGGAAGGCAGTCATAGCCGGCCAGTGAGCTCATGATGTGCTAGAAGGTGCTGCGTACCCTGGAGTGAGAAAGGGCAGACTACAGTACAGGGATGGGAGTGGGGGCGCGTTCCTGAGACGGGGGCTGCAGTGAGAGGGTGCGCGGGTGGCTCCGCAGGACGGGCGCCCAGCCAGAGGCTGCTGCGGCTGCTGCAGAGCAGCTGAAGGACAGAGGGGCAGATGGCGGGCTCGGGGCAGCTGGAGAGCACAGGCGGCTGGTCCACGGTGGGCATGGCGGGCTCGGGGCAGCTGGAGAGCACAGGCGGCCTGTCCACGGTGGGCATGGCGCAGAGGTGGTAGTTTTCTGCCAGCCCCACCGTGACACTTCCTACATACCTTGTTTTCCTTACGTAATTCTCATTGCCATCAATTGTTAAAAATCTCTTTTATATAGGCCTTTATCTACTTTTTATCATTTCTTGTCCTAATGTTTTAGAATATTTTAGAGAAGATCCCCCAGATTATTTCATTTCACCTGTATGTGTCAGCTTGTATCCCTGTGGATAAAGGATCTTAACATAATGACTTTTCCGTGAGCCAACATTACCTAACAAAGTAAATAATAATGTCTTAGTATCGTCCCATGTCTGACGCTTGCTCGTTGTTTTCCAGTTTCCTCAGAAATAGCTTTTATAGTTACTTTTTGAACTTGGATACAACCGAGATTGTATGCCTTGCCTGCTTTTGGATGATGGCTCTTTGAAGTGTGTTTCAGCCTGGAGTGGGTCCCCATGGTCGTAGCTCAGGCTGCTGTAACAGCACCATAGACTGCTGGCCTTTATTTCTCATGGGTCTGGAGGCTGGACATCCAAGAGCAAGGTGCCAGCCTGGCAGGTTTCTGGTGAGGGCGTCTTCCTGGCTTGTAGGTGGCTGCCTTCTTGCTGTATCCTCCTGGACATGGGGCTGGGGGTGGGGGGACTTGGAGGTAGCGGGGGAGCACGGGTACCTCTTTTTTTTTTTTTTTTTTTTGAGGCGGAGTCTTGCTCTATTGCCAGGCTGGAGGGCAGTGGCATGATCTTGGCTCACTACAACCTCTGCCTCCCGGGTTCGAGTGATTCCCCTGCCTCAGCCTACTGAGTAGTTGGGACTACAGGCGCCTCCCACCACGCCTGGCTAATTTTGTATTTTTAGTAGAGACAGGGTTTCACTACGTTGGTCAGGCTGGTCTCAAACTCCCGACCTCAGGTGATCCGTCCGCCTTGGCCTCCCAAAGTGCTGGGATTACAGGGATGAGTCACGGCACCCCGCTTGGTGTCTCCTCTTATAAAGGCCCTAATCCTTTTGGGTCAGAGCCCTACTCTTATGACCTCATTTTACCCTAATTACTTCCTTAGAGGCCGTGTCTCCTACTACAGCCATGTTAGGAATTGGGACTTCATGAATTTTTTGGGGGGACACAACGTTAATTTCATGATAACCTCCTTCCCCCTTCCCCTCCCGTCGTGCTGTCTGTCTGTGGCTGAGACTGGGTGCTCCAGATGTCTCACAGTCTGGATTTGGTAGCAACCTCCTTGTGGTGTTGGCTTACATCTTCCTGTCTCCCCGTTTCTCTGGTGAAGTAGGAGTTAGGGTTGGAGGGTGATTGGACCCAGGCTGATCTCAGACAGAAGCTTTGTAGGCGAGCTCCCTCCTGCCCCATCTCAATAGGCAGGCAGTGCTAGGTGCATTGGGTCTTGTCAGTCTGCTCCTTCCTGGATGAAATTCCATATTAATTGTTCATCTCGTAGCTCCAGTAGGCATTGGTGTCATCACCGAGACCTATATTAGGGGCTGCACCTTAGTGATTTTCTAACTTCATCATATTTTCTGAGTTCAGGAGTTCTCTTCTGTGAAGAAAAGCTTTGTTATTAATCCTGGTTACTCTTGATAATACAGGAAGATTGCATCAGTTTTTAGAATGATGCCTTGGTGTTCTGATGTGCATAAAGTTGATCAGGAAGCTTTGCTTTCCTTGTTATGATGACCAATTCATTGGCTTTTAGGGTTTGATGTTTCCACTGTTATTTATTTATTTGTTTATTTATTTACTGGAGACAGGAGTCTTGCCCTGTCACCAGGTGCCAGGCTGGAGTGCAGTGTCGCGATCTGGGCTCACTGTAACCTCTGCCTCCCGGGTTCAAGCGATTCTCCTGCCTCAGTCTCCTGAGAAGCTGGGACTACAGGCGCACACCACCGTGCACAGCTAATTTTTGTATTTTTTAGTAGAGACGGGATTTCATCATGTTGGCCAGGGTGGTCTTGATCTCTTGACCTCGTGATCTGCCTGCCTCGGCCTCCCAAAGTGCTGGGATTACAGGTGTGAGCCACCACGCCTGGCTCCACTGCTATTTTGTGGATGATCAGAGAATCTTTTTGAGTGATTCTTTTGAGTAATCTTTGAAAGCTCCCTTGCTTTATGGCACAAGTTGATGCAGGTTCTTCCTGTATATTTCCTGCTTGAGACATAAAACCAGCCAGTTTTCTAGAATCCCTGTTCCCTTTAGCATTAAATAATCCTTAGAACGCACTCTGGGTGCTAAATGAAATT